CTCTCTGGGGCTGCCCGTGGGCTCCCCCCCCCCGCCCACCCCCCCCCTGGGGGGGGGGGGGGTCCAGATCTGGCCTGCAGGAACCCCCCCAGTCTGGATCCAGCCTGGCCACCCAAGGGAATTTGACACCTTGCTACATTTTTAGAGGTTTTTGTTTGTTTGCCTTGCTCTGATTTAAAATTAGTTCTTACTAATACAAGCTTCTCTGTGAAGCCTGGATCTTCTATCTTGTGGAGGTTTTAAACCCTGGACAGCTCAAAATCGTTTCTAGTTCAGGTTGTTGCTATATATTCTACCACTACCCAAATAATCCTTATGATTAGGAAAATTTAGCTTCTGAAATTGCTAGAAATGTGTTCTATTACTGTATAGCTTTATTGTGAAGAAAAATGTTAAACTAATTATCAAAATATTACTATTTTTAGAGACTATAATATAGTGCTATTGATGTGCATAGCACCAACAAAAAGCTACAATTAGTTCCAAAGTTCATCATCTATGAGGAAGTTAAGGAAAATGCAACAACACAATGTAAATTAAAGAGACAGATGAAAGAATAATATTTGATTGCTCTAGAATATTGTGCCTTATGAAGCTCCACTTTTTAATAAATATATCCCATTTATTTTATTAAAGATACAGTATGTACTTAAATGTTAAAACAGGTACTGGCACACAGCTAGCATCTGCAGACCCATGCTCTAAGACTAAAACAAAAATAAGTGGCATTTTCCATAAAGAGAGAAAATGGAAATTCATTTTATTGGTGTCAGTTCTAAGAGTCAAGGGCTGCTTTCCTGATCTTTATGTGGGCCTGATTCTTCAGTGAGATCTAGGCAGGCCTGCACTTGTGCCCACACAAAGCTTGTTAGATTTCTGTGTGGATCAGTATCAGTAGAGATTACTCTCCATACAAATCTGATTGAAAGATCAGAGCCTACTATGTTACAGTAATGTATTTTATGGGCTGTCACACTTCATTTCTTGCCTCTGTACTGAATAAACTTTTCTTTAAATTAAGAGGGAAAATATTAATCAAGTTTATCCTTAAATGTAACAAAAAAAGCTCTTGGCTAGTATGTATAAGTAGCATGGAAGATTATAAAATGGCTTGACCCTCCTGTATAAACAAAACAAAACAAAACAAAACAAAACAAAACAAAACAAAAGGAAAAGGAAACATTTTGTCTTTACACAGAAAAGAAAAGCAACTCTAAAAGCAGCTTATAAAAGGCATAAACATTCTCTTCATCCAAGAGACAGTTTCACAACATCTCTTTAGCTCACATGGCAATTTACTAGACAAACACACCCCCCTCCATCCTAAAGACTATGTACTTGAATCAAATGTCTTTAATTTTCTTGCACTTCCTTATTACTTGCTTCAGAAAGGTACCATTAATGTGCCTTTCCACTGCAGTTTCCAGCTTGGACAAGAACTTTGTAAACGATTAAGCTCAAGCCAAACAATGCCTACAATATTCAAAGCCAAATTGCTTTGGGGATGTCACGGGCCACCCCCAATTTTTATTGTACTGAGTACAGCACTTTATGGAATCTTATTACAAATACCAGGAGCTCTGCTTAAGTAATTATATTTAAGAAAAGACATTTACTTTTCTTACACCGTTACACTGTTGAAGTTTCAAGTTTTTTACCCTTACAATAAAATGCAACCTGGAAAGAATGAAGTTTAACTTCCTTAGAAACATGTATTTATGCCAAACTTAAAACATGCGAAATTATGGTCTGCCCACAAACACTTACACACAAGAGCATTTATAGGATTCTTGAAATCCATTTTTTAAAAAGACCTAAACATGGTTTCAACTCTATATAGTTTTCTAAAGAGAAAACTTTCAGTAACAAATCCTGAAAACAAATTAAAGAAGTTAAATTACAAACAATGAAAATAAGGCAAATAAACATGTCCATATAACTATTATTCCAAACTATGAAGATAAATTCCAGTATTCAGTGAATACAATTTATATAAAAAACACTGAACATAAGACTAGTCAACTTGGTACTTTGTTTGTTTTTTTTTTTAAGTGTAGAGAAAAAAATCCATCTTGTCAATATAATAATTTTAGATGTCCATAATGGTATGAACAAGGATGCGTAAAAACTGTTTGTAGATTTTTTTTTATTAAAACAAATTAAAATTAATTTAAAAATGTATAAAAACTTCAGATTATGAATAGCACCTTGAAATTAATAACTTTGAAAATCATATTTTACAAAACACATTTGAAAGTCTGAGGTATAAAAGGTTATTACTCATTTATACCTTATTAGATGCTTCCCTTTCTTCCATAACACTGTTCATCTGGCCTACACTTCATGCTCGAGTCATGCAGATTGGAGTTGACTCTCAATTACACAAAGTCTTTCTCCAAAGATGACAGTCCAAATACAGTAGAGATAAAATACATCAAGGTTTAAAATAGGTCCGTTCAGCCCCAGTGCCGCTTCATCATGAAATGATATAATTCACTGATGCCTCTGCCTAGCCTAACATATGTTCTATTCACAGCCCGTGTCACTCTTCATTTGTAATTATTTCCTTTTTTTTTTTTTTTACCCCATCTTGTAATACTTTGCTTGGTTGAAGACAAATACTGAAAGGAAAAAAAAAAAGAGTATTATCATATGATGACCTGTTCCAGGGTGTTAAACCCCTGTCAAGGTTTGATTTTAACATGGGGTATTGATGACAGTACATCAATTCAGGCATCATGTCTTGAATTAGACTATATTAATTATCACTTGAGTGCAGTATGCATGAAAGTGCTGTTTCATTGACTAAAAGGATTTGACTGAATAAAAATCTATTTCTCATCTGGTTGCTTATGGATAAAGACATTTTTTCTCTTTGTCTTGGATTGTTCTTTATTATATATGATATTTATAAGATTGTCTGAATAAATTGCCTCACTCAACAACAAATCTGAGTATTTTTAACAAAGAAAATTAAAGGGGTTGTCTATTGTTTAACAGTGTATCAAAGTTAATAGTTTAGTCAGATAAAACAAACAATATAAAACAGATTAGACTACATGCTCCTTCAAATAAAAGTATTTAAAAATGAAAAAGAAGAAGAAAAATATTAAAATCTTAAATACATCTAAAAAAAGATAAGGAAAACAATTTGGCTGTTAATCAGTAAAAAAAAGTATATTTCAATGCAGAATGAACAATTTTAACTTTTTTTTAAAAAGAAAAACTGTTATAATATAAAACTACTGTACATTTCAATTGTGCTTATTACCCACACAATTATGACTCTAGAGGTATTATTTTCTTTACTAATGAAGTTATGCACTAGCTGCCTAAAAATACATTTACTTTTGGAAAGGAGAATTTTCTCTATTTTTTTATCATTTTAAAATATCATTTGAGTGATTATAAGAGTCATTGAAGGTTCCCAAATTCTCACTGATGTTAGAGGCACCCCATCCAAAAATCTTGGCCAAAAATATTATATTCAAGCCACCCTCAATCTTCAAAGTGTATTTACCATATTTCACAGTGCATAGGTTGATGCAGTGTATAAATCAACCCCATTTTTCTAATCCAAAAAGTTAAGAATTTCATAATTTGGATCAGAAATATGGGGTTGACTTATACCAGGCCCTGCACGCTCTTGCTGCAGGCCGGGCACCTGGGGAGTGGATGCTGCAGCACTGCCAACAGCAGATGGGGCCAAGCTTGGTGCTTAGCTGGTGCAGTGCCATTTCCTGCAAGTGGTGCTGCCTGGGCCATGCCAGCTGAGCGCTAAGCCTGGTGCTGCTTGCAGGGGATAGGGCTGCACCAGCAGAGCACTGAACTTGTCCCTGTCTGTTGCAAGTGGCACTGCTGGGCTCCAAGCCCAGCCTCAACCCTTGCGAGTGGCACTGGGTTCAACACTCAGCTGGAGTGGCCCAGGCAGTGCTATTCACAGGGGATGGGGTGCTCCAGCCAAGTGCCGAGCTCAGTGCTGATCACAGGGGAAGGGACTGGCTTCGGTGGTCAGCAGCGCTGCTCACAGCAGACAGGGCCACACTTGGCTGGCATGGCCCCATCCCCTGTGAGTGGCACCAGGCTCAGCAGTTGGTTGGAGCACCCCAGGCAGTGCCGCTCGCAGGGATGGGGCTGCACCAGCCAAGCACTGAGCCCAACCCCATCCCCGTCCCTGTCCCCTGAAAGCAGTACTGCCTGGGCTGCACCAGCAGAGCCTGGCCCTGTAGTTTGACAGTAATTTGAGTTACATGGCACTTACATAACTCTTTATTTAGTAACATTTTCCCAGTGTATAGTCATTTTCTTTATTCAACATTGTTTATACTCTGATACCCTGACGTGAAAACTACACGTGTTTTAATCAATGGAATGTAAGACTATATTTTCTTGCAAAAAAATCATCACCTATATGCATACATACTATAGCTAAGGACTGGTTTAAATTGTAATTTCGCATTTTTTGTGGCAGTCACAACATTAAGTGATTTTCATGAAAAATGTGATTTGCATTGAATCGGCATGATATGGCCACTTGCTGGGGAGTTCATTGCAAACAGATGGCTGCAGCATGCTGGGAAAGCAGCAAAAGCCTAGCAGCCCACAGGAGTGGGGAAGGGATTGCAAAAGGGACGGGGGGAGGAGAGAGCTTGGGGATGTGTAGGGGAAGGGCTGTTTGCTCCTCTGGGTGGGAAAACTGAAGAGCGGTGGCTTGGGGGTACCTGGGGGCTGCCTTGGCACTGAGTAGAGCTTTGCTGCTCCACAAAGAAAAACTGGGGGTGCCGGCAGTTGTGTGTTTTCTCATCCCACCCACACATGGAGGAGCAAACAGCCCCTCCCCTGCCTAGTGCCAAGGCCGTCTGCTCCCAACTCTCATGCTTCAGCACAGAGCTCATCATCATTACTGCTGATTGGCTGATGCTGAGTTCAGTGTTAGACTCGTTGCTGATTGGCTGGGAGCCTGGCAGACCTGAGCAGCATTTTTGAAAAGGGAATTTCCTCCCTGCCTGTCAGAAACAACATGGGGCAGGTGGCTGCTACTACTATTCCTGCGTCTTCCAGTGAGGTGGGGGAGAAAGGGGGTGGCTGTGGGCTTTTCAGCATGATGAGAGACTTTGGGAGCAAGGCCTCTGCTGCTGCAATTAATCCTGACCCTAATCTTGCCCCCTCAGTCAATCAGGGGGAAGAGGGAATGCCACAATTTGGGCATGAAAATGGCAGCCCCCCACCACAACTGCGCCATGATATTAGCGAGGTGGGCCTGTGAATTAAACTCAGACTCTAACTATAGCTTTCTAAAATGTCCTTCCTTTATTTGTTTGCTCACCCACACCCAGCCTTGAAAATGAGCCTGGGTGACCCAGTGCACTGTCATCATGTCCCTTCAAATAAACCATGGCAGTCAGGTTTATCTTCCTTAAATCTGGGCAACTCCTTTCCTTCCTGCCATCTCACAGAAGCTCCTCCTGGTATTTAATTATCCTATGGTACTTGCAGGGTAGCACCCTTCCTTGTGCAAATTGTGGCAGTCATTCTCACCTACTCCTACACCATCCTAAGAACATGTTTCTCCTTTGCCTCCAAAAACCTCCCTCTGATTCCCTGGCACCAGACCACAGGGACTGCTCCAGATTGTAGACTCCTCCCCACTCTGATGTCTTAAAAGCATTTCCTGCTTCCCTGCTATCCCTTGTGACAGAATGACAGGAGGTAATCCTCTTGGCTTCATCTCATCGTCAGCTGTGAGCTTCTGTGCTCCATGCCACCTCAAGTTCCTTCCTAAATGAGACTGGTTACAAGAGACACTGACTGAGGCTAGATGATTAGAGGCTTGGAATGGAACCAAAGGCACTTAACTTCAAACTTAGTGTCTTTAAATATTCTCAGTGAGAAAGCAAAATCAACAAAGTTCAGAGAATACGAGTTTGTATTTGAAGCCACCACATGATTATTTAAAAGCAGCAAGAGTCAGGATTGGCTGTCACTAGCGAAAGGTAGAATGCAACTTAAATGGGAAATGAAAATGACTAAGCAGCTCTCCCCTCTCCACTTTTGTTGCTTCTCTGTGAAAAAAATAATTGCTATCAGGTGACAAGCTTGTAGTAGCAGAGGTGAATCAGTCAGTCATCAACCTACCCCTCCTCTTTACACTCCTTGATTTGTCTGCATGGCAAAATCCTTCCGATTAAAATGCCGTATAACTCCTAAAACCGTTACTCATTAAAAACCAACTGTTCAATTTTCACATCTTTATGCTATCTACAGACAAATGTGATCTGAATGAATGACAACATTCATTCAAATCAGAAGAGGACTGGAGAAATGTACTGTACATAAAACCAAATTGATTGACAATAGAATATTGCACAGGTTATGTATCATCGGTAAGGCTACAGCATGAGAGTGAATGAAAGCAAACAGCGTTCTGAATGGATGAGTCACCACACCCACTTCCAGCACTGTGATGCTTGTCAAGAAAACAAAGTCTAAAATATGTAAAACACCATTATGCCAAATCTGTAACTGAATCAAATGTTATAAAAATATGAAGACTTCTTATAATAGATCATTAAAAACATTATTTTTTACATTATTTGATAACATTTTTCTGGTTAAAAATCTGAACAGATCTGTTTGTTCTCTAAAATATAATAGCAGGAACACTGTTAATAAAGCTATATGCATAGCTGAGTGTTCCAATGACAACATTAAACCAATCTGGGTTGGATCTTGTAGTTACCATGATGTAATCAAGAAACTACTGATCTATGTGAATCACCTTATAGTTCATAGCTACTTACATTAAAAGCATTCTGTTTCTTGAAAATACTGTGTGCATACTCATCTTCAGTACATACAATAAAAAGCTCACTGCTAGTGAAAAGTGAGACATTTCATGGTTATATTCACAAGGATGGATTTCAGACCTCCTACAAGGTACAAGAAACATGACATGGCATTTTTAGAAACATAAAAAACCCACATGAAAGAGCCCAAACTGCTTTTATAGCCTCTTAACCAATAGAATTCCAACACAGAAAATGAACTGAAATTACAGTATACTAATCAGTTTTTCACAAGTTCTACCATGCAACAGCAACAGTTTCATGAATGAGGCATAGGAAGTCTAGAGTAATGGTTAGAGCAAGACTGATGACAGGTGTCTAGGCCAGAAACACATTCTGAACAGCAACCTGAAGTTCAAGAGCCACAGATCCAGGTTGAGCTGAAGAAACCAGGACTGGATACAGAAGCTGGGTAGAAACCAGGACCGGATACAGAAGAAGGATCAACCAGAAGCAGATCCTTGCCAGTGACCCGCTCAAACCTTTTACAGCTATCTTTGAGAAAGATGATTGGTTAGGTCACTCAGGTGAGATTTCCTGTGGGGGTATGGCCTAATCCAGTTACTACATCCTGAAGGCGTGATTATGTAAATACTTGCTCACTATACATGGCCCTTCACATTTCAGTGAACAACTGTTAAAAGGTCAAGAGTCAGGCAGAACGTTACATGAACCACAAGTGTTGAAAACAAAAACACTGAGCACTGCATTGCTTGAAGAACCATAAATGATTTGAACTTTCAGTTTATATGCATACATTTTCATATATTTGAATT